TATTGAGGGGGATTCTCTTCCAGTGCTCCTTCAATGGAACAAAGTGCCAGCACATTTTGCAATCCGCCACTCCTGGGTTTCCCCGGTTCGCTGTGAATCATCAGAAGATAGAAATTGGGTGTAGTAGGCCTTCTCCACTGTTGAACTTAGTAGTTTTGCATCATCTTCTTCTATGAATCAGTTCAAATTATAACAATCGATTTTGTGGTCTCGTGGGAGCCTGCTCCCAATCAGGCATTCGTAATGCTTTCGAAGAAATGCTTAACCTGAAAGCGTGTATGCCCGGATTTGATCACTAGAACATAAGTGTTGTAGCAATGCTGCTACACAGTCTCTCCCCTTACTCCAGCTCCTAGGAGGGTAGTTCTGCCTACATCTCAGTCTTTCAAGTCTATACTGATACATACTTGTCAGTAATTTAGTGGTTGTTATCATTCTGGCTAACCTCGTTACAGTATAGAGCTCAAGGCCAATGAACTTCATGTATGAAGTAAATGGCGATTATCACAATTTTGTGTTTTCAGTTATCAGACTTCAAAACGTGGCTCTGGAAGTGCTCAATAGACGGATACTGATAAGGACGGACATCACAGTGAGTTTTCTCATCCATCTTTACATCAGTGAATAGTTGAACCTCAATCCGGTTGCGTTCGGTACAGCAAGCTCATTTAAGAGAGTTGGGAGCATCCTACCTGATCTTTAGTGATTGTTAAGCACCCTTTCAAGGTGTTGACTGCAACATAAATGCATGTTTGAAGCATATTTGGCATAATTCGTAAAGAGTAAGTTACTTCTTGATATTGCTCTTCGAGCCTACCTGCCTATCTGCTTTATCGGGAACTTTTTTATGACAAGATGGGAAAGCTTTTTCAAACTGTCTAGGGATAATTTTTCATGACAAAAGTGAATCTAGATCAGCTTCTTCATTATTACATCTCGGATGAGTTCAAATCCAATACTCTGTTGTCAAGCCACTCTATCACCCATGACTTTTAGGTGTGAAGCTGTTCCCGACACTATATGTAGTTGAACGCTGATATCTTATCAATTCAGAAAAATTTTCCAAACAGAGCGGTATCTGGAGGGAACCTGTCAAAGTCGCCTTGCAGCAATTGACTATCAGGAGTTTTCAAAACTGGGCAGCTCCCTTCTTACGCAGCTGCGGTCAATCTTAACTTGGCATAATTGGTGGGCACGGAAGTACGGCAAAAACCGTTGCAAATTAAGGCATAATGCACCCACAAGGAATAGTTCACGATAGTTTTGAGAGGAGACCTATCCCAAAGCTTTCCACTCCACAGAAGTTATTATTTCTCCACTATCGTCTTGCATCTATGTTTCATACAATCGAAGCATTATGACTTTCATGTTACCATTCATTGCTACTTTTCTATTTGGTTATTGATGTTGATATTTTTTGTTAGATTATTGTGTTAACGTTCATCCTGCTTAGTTGTTTGAATTCCAACTAGGCTGCTCTGTATGAATGAGGCAGCTTTTATCAAGCTTCAGAACACGGCTCTTCCTGGGGGTAGCATATAACCCATGTAGACAGTTTTTTGAGCTAACAGCGCCACATAAGACATACTTGGTAGTCACTGATAAGTTGTAGGCGTTGGTCTTGGAAGCAACATTTATTTATTTATTCATTATGAATTGTCCCTTTGAACAGAGCGAAATTATTATATTTCAAAGATAACTTAAGTGCGTACATTTCTGAAGTTAGCCTTAAGAAAAGTGATGCGAATATAGAAATGTTCAAATTACAAATTAGCCCTGCTCGTGCTCCTCACACATCTCAGACAGATGTTACACTATGTCTCACGCTTACTGTTCTCACGCTTCTTAAACGTTTGGAAAACGATGGCATTTGTTTACCGTGGCCTATGGAAGCTGCCACGGTAAACAAATAGCCTGGTTATGGAAGTTGGTGTTTGGAGTGGTCCAACAATGAAAGTATTGGAATCTAGCTGAAATTTGAAAGAAGGATTTTGGTTTAAAGAATAGTGACTTCCCTGTTGGGTGTTTCTGAAAAAACTTCTTCTCTCGTATGACATTATTGAGTTTAAACTAAAATGGATCACCTGTTCAAGAAATATTCAATCCAAAATAAAGGCCTGTAAACCACTTTCCGAACAGCTTACTTATTTATTTGTTTATTTAATACACCCAAGGGTGTGCCATACAACAGCCATATTTGAACATTTTTGCCGTGGTTGTGGGCCCTGTTGCCACCGATTTTAAGAGTTTTCAGCTCACCCGGAACAACTTCAAAATGCTTTTTTAATGGAATTAACACGACCCAATAATTAGTAAACGAATTCCCTCAGAGCTTGCTCAATCCACAATCACAAAAAAGTGTGGGATAATGTGTTTTTATCGAATTACGAGATCACTTTAGCCTTCTTCTCGACATTATCGTAATTCGAAGAATTCAGGTGGACGAGAGGAGGCTATCACAACTGGCTGAAAAGACGCTTTTCAATGGACCACAATTTGGTCGACAATTCGTGAGGGAAAATACGTTGAGGACTTTCAAGCGTATGGCTTCTCACTAATAGCCTTCACTACCGAAGATTCGCTTCTAACGACGGGTGAACACCACCGTGAAGCTGCCGCAGCCTATACCTGAACTCCATCCTGTTCCGTTCTAGTGAGAATGTTACTGTATATTCGAGTTTAAATGTTTTATTTCATGACTCACGGGTATCCGATTAATGCAAACGAGTGATGTATTTCATTGATAAGCAGATAAAATGTATCGACAGCCAGCCTTTGCTTTCGAGTTCAGAATTCAGTTACACCGTCATTCCTCTGGAGCTGGACCAACTGGTCTGTCGTCGTAGTCGAGATCGGGGCGGCCAGGATGTACGTGTTTTATCTCCTGTTTATTGGAAACACTCAGTAAAAAACGAACGAAAGGACAAACAAACAAACAAACAAAAGGGGCAAAAGACTGACCTTTTCCGGTGGCGGAACACTATCCTCATCGTACTTGGAGTAGTCGGGTGTAACCTCTTCCTCTGGAACTTCTTGTTCGTTATTATCGCTCATTTCGATTTCTGAAAA